GTCTTCGAAATCACAGGATAAACCATGGGAAAATCCATACTGGAAAAACAATAAAACGCAAGCCTCGATTCCGTTGAAGAAACAAGATATTCCATGGCAGAATCCCTATTGGAAAGATTGGAAGCCAGGATCTTTGAAAACATCGCAACAATACCAGAATGTACCTTTGAAAAATCCTAACTGGCAAAACAATGCATCGAAAGCTTCAACAACCACTAAAAAGCAAAATGTTGAGGAAATTAAACAAAGAGATAAACCATGGAAGAATCCTTATTGGAAAGATTGGAAGCCAGAATCTTTGAAAACATCCCAACAGTACCAGAATGCGCCTTTGAAAAATTCTAACTCTCAAAACAATACATCGTACACTTCGACAACCACTAAACAACAAAATTTCGAAGAAACTAAACAAAGACATAAGCCAATGGAAAGTTCCTATTGGAAGCATAAAAATGCATCAAGTGCCGTACCCACATTGACGTCTCATGCATCAAAGAAAGGTATTTGGGGTATCGAGTTACATGATGTATGGATAACAGACAATTTATCACCTCCTGATCATAGAGTTCCTCCAATTCCATCATTTTATAAACGCATCTTTCCTGTTCATACTCCGCCATGTTCAATTCAACCGTCAACAACGATCAGCCAGAATAAATTACGGCATTCTAAACCAACGATGCATGTCGCATCATCTAATATTCCGAATGAAAGACACAACAACGACACAAATGACAGTGATGATATTTCACCATATGCAGTCGATAGTCAAGGAATAGCACACTATCGTGAACTATCATCACCATCCGATATAATGAAAAGTAAAGCAATTGCTTTTAGTAGTTCTTCATCACCTACTCACAATCCAGTCACATCGACATATACAACTAATACTACTCCATTACAACAGAAATATGCTATGACGCCAACGCCATTTACATCTAATGTTACATCACAGGTTCCAGTAGCTAACACAGTTCTTTCTTCATCTACAACAAATTCAGGGCTATTACAATCTTCGAATTTTCTAAATTCTGCATCATATTCACCAAACAATTATCCATCATCAACTATGGCTTCATCAGCTGTACTCACATTGGACGAACTATCTGGTATTCAAAGTGCTCTTCGTTTATTGGAGGCCAATCCAAATGCTATACCTACTATAGAAACATATCAATAACATGTACCAACAGTTTATGCCAGTGGTGATAAAGTATCGCATTCACCATTTAATTCTCCCTTGACAAACAATAATAATCATCAATCAATACAACAGCCACCAATATCATCATCATTCCATCTGCAAAATCATCAATTTAGTTCTTTGTTTAATCTTAAACCTCAACAATTGTAAACAGTATCTTCATCAAAAAATTCTTCAAATTCAAAAGACACTTTAAACAAATTTATTCAATCAGAACCTGGCACTCATATTTAATAAAGAAATTATTATTTTTTTCGGTAGTATTTTGATTCATCGTTTCCTGTTTAATATTTTGCTAAAAGATTAAAAATAAAATTTCATCAAGATTTTTTTCATTTAAAACAATGTTCTTTCTAGAAAGTGATCAAAGAAGTATGACGAATAACTATTGATGTATTCAATATGAAAGTTTTTAGGAGAAAAAAAAAAAGAAACTTTGAAACAATCTTACCTTACAAATGCAATGATTTACAATAGACTTGGCTGAGAATGTGACAAAAAATAATTGATATAAATATAAACAAACTAGTTCTTTTGAACATCAGTTCATAATTAAATGAGCAATAATATTCTTACACGTGTACTATGGATAATAATTTAAACAACCAACTAACTTGCTTTGAATTTTTATTTGACAAACAGAAAAACGAATCATTTGATGACTTATCATTTTTTTTTCTTTTTTTTTTAAGATGTATGTATGGAGACACAAATCATTTATAAAGATAGATGCCGTACTCGCTCGAGTATAAATTGAAATATGACTTATACATTCGAAAGTTAAGTTCAGATCAAAGGTGTAACTTAGCACTGAAGGTACAGAAGAGGCGTTGTGTAAACGAATTTCAGAAGTAGGGAAGAGGACGTCACGTCCCTATTTCAAGTGTTTGAAAAAATTCAATAAGTCTTAAAATAATAAGTTCTAATAACCAGCTGTATTGTAATGAAAATATATTAAGATACTCGAAAAAGATCAATTTAGTGTGCCTACAGATAATGAATATGCCTACTGATGCTTCTCGTAATAGATTTCATCATTCTCGAATCAATCATTGAGACCATTCAAACTAACTAAAAATACCAAAATAATCATGATTTTTTCATTTGATCAACATCAATAGTATTGTGAACATTGAGATACGATTTTTGTTGCGAAAACTCAATTTATGAACATACGAAACTTCTTTGTAATAATTGATATTGTTCATGAAATGAACTCAAATTTCTTTTTACGCTTTTGAATTTCTGTGAATGTTGAAGAAAAAAATTCAACCAAATTTGAAATATAAAACGCTTACATAAGTATAATATCTAATATGATTATTTCATGGATCAAGTATTGATCAAAATAGATTTAACCTAATCATAGATAAATACAATTAACTTGTATTATGTCTTATAAAAATGTTAATTTTGTGATTTTTTAATCTTACATGCAATTTAATAACATTTGACTATTGCTTTTTTCTTTCTTTTTTGTGCTTTCATATTATGCAAGATATCGTGACAAAAGTAAAAGTGTTAATAAATCTTTTCTTTTATGTTATTGTAAGTAATAAAAATTGAACTATATGAAATTTTATCTTTTCATCATGCACCTTTGGTTATTTGATCTTATTAAATAAACACAACATATTAAATCATCTTAATATAAAATTTTTAGAATGGAAATTATTACATGAACTTGAATATTTTAATTCATTTATAAAATTAATTAAAGTCTATATTACAGGATTTTTTTATGCAAGCTTATTTAACCTTTGACTTTAAAGTACACTTCATATACTGTCAGTACGGTAGCCTTCGTTCATGCACGTGAAGGCCTTTTTACGTTCTAGAAGAAATGTATGCTTTCATTTCTCTTGCTTATTCGTACGTAACGTACGGTTGAAACACACGTCACATTGTTTTACATCGTTTATTGTGCATATATAAATACTGGCAAATAAAAACGACTTATTGTAAGTAAGTTTTATTATTGATCATTTGTGAAACTAGCAACGTTTGTTCATTTCAAACTATATTCAATACACTTGAAGACGTAAAATACTATTAATAATTTAATCAATTAAAATTTGATATTCACACAAATATCAACTATAATAAATAAAATTTTTATAAAAAAAAATTTCAATCAGAAAAAGAAAAACTTCAAGTAATGAATGATGGTATGAATTGTTGTTCTGCATATTTCTATACAAGATTTACCAACGATGATACATTGATAGGTAAGTGGGTAACATGTTTTTTTTTGTGAAGATTAGTCATGATAATTGTCTGAGAATAAGTCTTCGAGTTAGTTTGAACTTCAAATTCTGAGAGACATTCTGTATTTTTGGAAAAAAATGTCTTTCAAAATTAAGTTCTTTTTTAAGAACATTATAACGATAAATGAGCATTACAGTTGATTGCTGTTCTCTTTCTAATATAAGTTTATCCTGAGCGATTTTTTTTTACTTAAAAAATAAGAATGTGTTTGTTGTAATGTAGATTCAGCTGGAGTAATGAAATAGTTCAATAAACATCACGGTTACAGGTGACGACAATATCAGTCTTCTAATTCGTCATAAAAATGCTTTTCATACGAAGATTTTAAAAAAATATTTCCAAGATAAATAAAAAATTTCGCTAGTATCCTGATTTCTAAATAACTGGTATTCTCGTAGGTAAAGAATAATTTGAATTAGGACTTCAGATGGGATGAAGTTCTCGTTTCAAGGTTTTTTTCTTTTCTTTTGAAAGAATGCAGGTTTTGTTTGATGAAATATGAACTTTACGCACTTTATAGGTACGTTGAGTAATAAGACTTATTTTGCATTCATCGTTAACCTCTTTCATGAACAGAAAATTTCTTTTCTTTTTTTTTTGTCGTATTTATTCATATAAAAGTTCAAACAAGTTAAAATAACACTGATTTTGTAAAGCATTATGTGTACTTTACGGTTATTTAAAATTTTGAATATTCTTCTGCTATAACTGTTGATTATTTGAATAAAATGTCATGGTCATAAGATATGTTTACTATATCTACTTCGTAGTAATTTTCAACATAATATGTTATAGATTTTATTTAGAGAATAGCAGCGGATATACATTGCATTGCATCAGAGTATGAAAGGATCTTTAGTTATCGTTAGCAATACTTTTTGAAAAAGCATAAAACATCTAGTAAATCAGAGTTATTTGACAAAGTTGCAGCAAATCAGGACAGTTGCGAAGATTGCCTTAGATCTATTTTTGTTTTAAAAACAAACAAGTAGCATCTATGTGAATAGTATAAAAATTAAAATGTGAAATTAACTAACCTTGACAGAAATCGGTGGAGAGAAAACTTTGATGATAGAATAAGAAACTCATGGCTGTCGATTCAAGGCTTGAAAAAATCCTTATATGGGATAAATTGTCTCATGAGTAAAGCTCGTCGGGTTAGTCTCGGATCCGACATGCTCTAGTTGTCTGAGAAATGCGTAGGGTGCACTAGTTACCGAATACAAAAGTCGAAAATGTATCACCTATCTTGGAGGCGTCTATTCAATTTTGATTAGATAATTTCATTGAAAGTAGCAACATACGGTTCGATCGAGTCCGAGTTCCAAAATTTTGAACCTGCTGCGCTCTACCCATGGGATTGAAAAAGCCAACTGATCTCATGGAACGAATTTTTCATCCCATCCCATCCCATTTGGAATCTTAGTTTGAATTATTATAGTTCCCATTAGCAGCGTAGAACAGGAGCTTTCCCTATATTGGTTAATTTTTAATGAATGTTTTGCGCGGGCGATATAAAAAAATACGTTTGTTCGTTTTGAAAGAATAACCTTAGATGTAATCTAAAATGGCATGAAATTTTCATGTGTTTTCTTTTTATTTCATTAGATCTTGCAATGATGAATTATCCTGATATTGAGAAAAACGAGAATTGTTCATTATCAAATGATGATCAACCATTAAGAAACCGTTTAATAACATTTACTACAGATCATTCGTTTTGGTTTCGTATTTTCTTTTTAATCATCGTTATTATTATTATTTATTTATTTATAACTATTTATTTATATACATATTTATTTGTTCAAAAAGTTCTTGATTCACATATTGATAAGCCGTCATCTTAAACTAATAGTGATGTAATCAATAATTAAAAATGCTTTTCAAAAATAGATTTTCTATTTCATTTGTATATATTCTTGGTTATACAGCATAAAATATTATCCAATGTTGTAATTATAGTTTGATAATCAATTTCAAAACCTCAGCACCAAGTTATTCTTTACAAACAACATTAATGAGTGTTCTATGGAGTTTCTTTACCATATCAATAAAATCAATGCTTTGGCCTATGACACAATTCGATTCAATTATTTATCTCGAATAGTAATATGTCATTGTTTTGTACTAACTTTCTCATTTATATGAACTAGTTATTAGATCAAATTAAACATGATTTGAATTTGTTGTGATAATAGATGTGGTAGAGATTTTTTTAAATAAAATACTAATGTATGTGTTTTTCATTTATCGATACTTCATTTTAATAAATTTGTTAGTATAAACAATTTTTAATAAAAAAAAAAATGAATAAAGAAGAATTGTGTTTTCTTTTATTTTTGTTATTTAAAATTATCCAGCAGATATAGTTTAAATATCGATCTTTAAAGATATAAATAAGGAAAACTTTAATTGATAATTTATAAAAGATTAATAATAATAAAGTCAAAGAAAATTTTTTGATTCCATAAAAATGGGTTATCTATGAGAAATAGACTAAGATGCTAAAATTTGTTGTTTATTCTTTTTTTAAAATAGAACACTGTTTTTGAAAGTTCAATTAAAATATTTATCAATTGAGATACGAATGAATTCCTTTTTATCGAGATTAGATAGTAACGTTTAAGTGATTTCCATTTAGAACAAGAATTTGATAAGGAAGTAATCGGTAGAATAATTTCAAATTTATATTAGGTTAAAAGAGAATATTCAGTTTGAAAATAATTCAAAACCATATGCGCATGCATACTTAGCCAACGTATTATGTAAGTTTGATCTAGTAGCTACATTTCATTATGGAGATATGATTGCATTACTGGAACTCACTATTTGTGAAAAAGTCAACATTTTGGTCAGAAAGATATAGATCTTCACTTTACTCGTATTTCTAAAATACTTCGACAAATGTCAGAAAATATTCAAACTAGAATAAAAATGTAGAGCATTCGACGCTCTATTCAACTGCATATGATGCAAATTTTTTAATATCATGAAACCTAAAAAAATCTGTGACTCTTTTGAGAATCATACTAAACAAAATTTTTCTTATTTTTGTATCAATTTCATACAAATATATTTTCACTATAATTTTTCTTTAATAAGACATATGAAACTGAAAGTTTTATGATGAATGTATCTCGCTCACTTCTACTATCAATCTAAATTTCATTGAAAATTCAATTCTCAACAAAAATACCGAATATATTTTTCGGAGAAAATTTTTGTGCAGGCATAAACGTTATGAAATTAAGACCTATTGATTTGTCGAACTGTCAATTCCTTTCTTTTGTTACACATAAAAGCCGATTTGTATGAGCGTATGCTCACCAAGCTCAATGCTAAAAGCTAAGTATTGTACAACAAATGAGAGATTTTTTTTTGCTCTACATATTCACAAACGTAGCATGGTTCTGAGTGTTTTGTTCTGTAGAAAAAAAAATTGCAAACTAACACCTGATGGTATTTTTGAGTGCCTTGTGAAAAATTATCTTATCACAGATCGGGCTCGTACTACAAAATGCTGATTCTGGTACCGTCGGATGCACAATTAAATAATGAAAAAAAAATAGTGCATTCGTTCATTTGAACAGTTGAAGCTTTCATGCTACTTTAAATTAATCGAAAACAATAGCTTAGATTTGTCCGAAAGCAGGTTTTTTTTGGGTATTTCGACATTTTGTATGTTGAAGTTTTTCTCCCAAATATTTTTTTCTAACACTTTCAAAGTCACACCAAAATATGCAGAATTTTGTGTATAATATACTCGAATATTTTTAATTTTAATCGATTCGTTTTAAAAGTTCTCTATAGGTTTTTCCGTTTTTTTGATTTTTGTACTTGTGAGATGAAGTAGATTTTAATTTCGTCAATTTTGCTGTGTCACAAAAAATCTATTTGAAAAACAAAGTCGACAGTTTTGTAGAAGACTAAATTCCACATTTACTAGCTGAAAACCAAAATTTGAAATAATTGTTAAATATTTCAAAGATAGAAAATAAAATTGAGACATTTACTATGGAACATCCATTATTTTTCTGTCTCATGAAACAATCTTACAATTTTTCAAAAGAATCTTTAAATCAATTTTATAGTGAGGAAAACTGTTTGCGTAAAATTTGCCGTTTCAGGAAATTTTTTAATTTTGTGGCAGACTCTGCATCTATGATTGTAAGTTCCCGATAATAAGTATGAGATTGGAAACATGAAGTTCTAACCATTTTTACTAGAATGATTTAAATTACTCCAACCGGGGCAATTCGGATTACTTTGATAGAGTGTTCAGCATTTTTGTAAAACTCACTCAAAACATTGGTTGTTTTGAAAGATTTGTAGATGATTCGATAGAGAACACTTGGGACTATTTGTGGATAAAAAAAATCTTGTTTTTCGATACCAAAGGATTGAAAAATAATCAAAATACGCTCAGCTCTTCAATCATTCATACAAGGTAATTATTTGAAAAATAAGTTTAATTTTGGAAAATTCATTGCTACAGAGCAAAAGTGGAGGCTACAACATCGATTTGTATATCTTCCATATACAGGTCAGTTTGTTTCTCAGTTGGTTCGAAGATCGCGTTGTGCGGTTACCAGTATGTATATGAGTGACAGTGAAAAATCGAAAGAGAGAGAGAAGTAAACAAACAGATTTCCATCTCATCTATCTTAGCTTTTAGACACATATGAGTTATCTTTTATTTTAATAGTGTGCTATCTTTGCTTGCTTCTTTCATCATATACCTTCTACGTTATTCGACTTGTCCATACGTAACGCTGTTACGTTTTTGCCACACATTTCTTTGCAATTATCCCGAAAGGTTTGAGAACTAGAAAGTTCGTTCAAATCCCATTCCATACAGCCTATCACACTCTATTTATGCTATAAGGATGACTTTTCTGACTGAAGTATTGGACTGCTCGAAAGGTTTTATCATCGTGTAACGCTGTTACATAAACAAGATCCTTTGTCTCCAGTACAGCTAACAAAACTCTAGTTTCTTGCAAAAGTATTTCTCCAAATGAAACGATTGTATAGCCACTTTTGTAGAGCATCGAACCAGCTTTTAAGCGGTAAAAAAAAAGATTTTCTCTAAACAATTTATACTCAGATAAACAATGCAACAAACAAACATAACGCTGTTACACAGTTTTTTGTGGACCAATTGTGATGCACTTAACATGTTCAAAAAGACTTGATTTTCATAAATGTTGGTCTTTTTTGTATATATAATTGTTCTATGCAAGGATCAAGTTGCTTCATCAAAACGGGAGCTCATTAACAATACAGTCAGTTGGAAACTGTACAGCAATATACATGTTGTTCTTAGCGACAAAAGTCAAATATAAATTGATCATTTTGTAGAGAATTAAGTTCTGCATCGAATGAAATGTCAGTTAGCATTTTTTGACAAAAACTTCCTGACTAGGAAATAAAAAATATGATTTTTGAAAACTTTAAAAGTCTGTTTTCAATGGCAAAATCCAATTCTTTTTGTAGAACAAATGTCAAATCTGTAATTAGTGTGAAAAAGTGTACCTAATAATACATTCAGATCTGTTCAACTCGAAAAAATTTTTCAAAGGCATGATCAGCGAAGTGTCACATTACGGGGACAAGGCGTATTACCTTCTTGTGATCGATATGAATTTAATTTCCGCAGAGAGCCATCAGATCAGTGTGACTTTCTCTCTCTCGCACTTTTCTGAGATAATCAGTAAGAAATTCTCTTATTTATTTGAACAGTATTAAAATATGTCACGATTGAATAAATGTGATAGATACATAATTTTTTGACTAAACGGTGCTTTTTGTATCATTGACAGTCACATAAAAAAAGAAAAAAAAAGGAGAAAAGGACTACATGAATGCATATAGCGGTTAAGGTTTTATATGCGTAGGATGATATCACTATGAAAATATACGCATGATTTTTCTCTACATTGGTGACGATATACATCATTGCCTACAAGAAAAAAAATCACATTTTGAATGCAAAAAATGAATCTATCTCTCTCGTCATTCATGAAAAGAAAATACTATTTGTTGCAAATTTATCTTTGCTAGGCGGCCCACGAGTATATTTCTCTTTACTAGGCAGACAACGAGTATATTTCTCTTTACTAGGCAGACAACGAGTATATAAAGCCAAAGCACAACTGTCCGATCATACCATTCGATTAATTGCTCACATTTATCTACTACTTTCTTCTTAAGTACCAAAAAACAACAAGTGACTACGAAGCAATTCAGTTAAATAGATTGCTTGATGGTTGTTTCGATGTTAATGGAAACAATCTACATGATACAAGCAGATCCAGTTGAAAATACATATGATGGCCGTTGGTATTATATTTCTGAAAAATTAAAAGAAGAGTAGAGCAGTGTATCGTTTTAATCATACAGAAACTGCATGAACTGCTTTACTGTCTTTGTAGGATATATGGCATAAAAGCAACTTCCTACCTTTAAATGAGATGGTACCATTAACCATCATCAAAATGAACGAACATTTTATTTTACTAAGCGTTTTCATCTCATCTGCTCAACTAGCTAATTGGCTTCTTTTATATTCTAAACCTATTTGCTCTTTCCTTTGCTATACTTGGTAATTTTTTCTCTTGATTTTTTCTGGATTTTTCATACTTGTTGATTTTAATAAAACACACATGCAACATATTTCCTTTGGCTTCTTGAATACAATAACAATATCTAGAATAATTATGAGCAACTTTCCATTGCCTTTCTTTGCTCAATATCTTATATTCAGTCAATTATTATTTCATTGAGAGTGAGGGTGTCAGTTTTTGGAATATTTCTACAATACAACAAGAAGAGCTTTGAATTGTCACGAACGAGTTCAATCATTTGAGGATAAGAGTCTCATTAGGAACCTGTGTATATTATATTGATGTTTGCTTCAATTCAAGCATAATGAGTCCTTCTATGTTTTAAACACAGCTATAATGCATGGGCACAATCTTGTTCTATTGTCTGAAAATCGAGCATGGGCTCATTTCAACGTGATATAAATTGAATACTTCATAGATATCATCAAACAAAATCTTAATTCAAGATTGAAGCAAGCTTTTCACTGAAAACAACAAAACGTCATAATAAAATTGACTTCCTGAAATTTTCTTCAATCATCTTCAAAATTGAACATTTTCTGTAAAAGTCCATTCTACAGAGTTCAACAAGAAACATTGACTTCATATCATTTTGCAAGCAAAAGAATTTAAAAGTTTCGATTGTTCGTTGTTCGCGTTGGTAGCTTTTGGAACTACATCTATTAAATAAATAATAAGAAAAATAATGGTTTTTTCTTTTATTTAATGTGCTGCATTCTACTTCTATTCTACCGAAGTTTGAAGAATTTGAGGATGCGGGAGATTGTATGGATGTTTTTGAGACCAGCAACCCATTACGGATTTCGAGAGTTCATTGGAAATTCGATTTTGCAGCAAATTCAGAACAAAAGAAACGTTTGCAAAAAATTCATCGAAGACATAAGAGATCGAAACGGTACAGCAATAAGCAGTACAGAGGTATGACGCACAGTGAACAGAAAAACAAGGCCAGGAGCAATCTCTTCAACTACCATATCTAAAAACTTAGTATTTTGTGTAGTTATGCTTCACACTTGATGCTGATTATCTGTGTCTATCTAGCCTCTTTTAATCGTAAGATTTCTGAAAAACAGACTTTTTACTGAATTTTTCAACAAAATCTCGGAGCCCCCTCTCAGGTCACGTTGAAAGTTGACTTTTGAGTTTTGATTAGTGCTATAATTAGTGCCTACAAGATCCGTAGAAAAAGATAGTTGATAAGCACAGTTGATTTGAGTACTACATTAGTATCTCAATGATAGTATCATAAATAAGTGTTTTCTTGTTGTGCTATTTTTATTCTTTTCGATTCTGTCTTTGTGTAAGAATAACACCGTTTTCCTCCAACAACATTAAAGTGCATTCTACATTTCTCTCATTCTTTTCGGTGTTCTCACTCTTACTCTTCATATGATTTAGTTCATTCTAGTGCATTGTATGCATATATATATGTAGCTGCCGATGTCCACATAAAGAACAACAATTACTTGAAATCATCTAATAACAAATACTACTCTAACATGCTTAATTTTTGTTGCTATTGTTGTAAATGCTGGAAGAACAAAATAAATACTTGTCTAATGAAACACCGATTCCTTTGCGTGGATTCGATAGAAATTCAATTTGCCCGGAAATCCCGATAGACATTTGTTTTTATGCTATACATGTAAGAGGTCTGTTCGACAAGATTATGAAATAGAAATTGATTAACCATGATCTTCTAATTCAGATGATGATCAGTCAAATATTGCTTTTGATGAATATTTTACATCATTTCATTATCGAACATGTTGTCGTATATGTCATGTAGTGTTGACGACTCAAGTGATCGAACGGACCACTAATGCATGGATTGATCTACCTGTTGATCATGATCTTTATCTTCTTTGCACAAATTTGTGCACTAAACACGTTATTCGAGATTGTTTGTCTTCTGATGTTTTTGTCAATTGTAGTTAGTTAGAACCGTTGATGTTTAATATAACATCTGGAAAGGATTTGATCAATGTTTTAGTTTTATAGTTGCGTTTAGTGAGTACAATCAGTGCAACAACAACACTTCTACTCGTAGTTTGAATTCATAAGACGTCTCTGTTAGTAGTAGTTTAAAATCGATTTATTCAAAAATATTTGAAGTTGCTTAAAAAATTGTGAGATCTAGTTCATCAATATTCTTGGGAGTTCTTATTTATTTTGAGTATTTTGCATCTCCATCTTACTCTATCTATGAATACTATGAATATAGTGCTTCTCATTGACTTATTATTTTTTTCTAGAAAGCCAATCTATTCTAATGATACTTGTTTCCCTTAATTATATACTTTTATTTTTTTCCTAGCTTTTTCCTCATTATACTGATCAAGATTGTCTTTTCAACACATATATATATAATTGAGATCTTTCATATAAAAATTATTCTCTATCTCTTTATCGTGGTATGGTTAAATGTTACTTGTGCAATTCTTGTATGGCTATTTCTTTGCATTATATTAAGAAATAACAGCTCTTTAGTCGAATTTCTCTTGTATTTTTCCATCTGCAAGCAACAAAGGTATGCTTAGATGCATAGAGTCATAGTTTTTCTTAAAAAATCTATTGGTATGACATAGTAAAACTATATGGGTATAATAAAAGAGGCAACCAGATTTGAATAATAAAAACTAAAAATGTGGTCAACATGTATTTAATATTCGACTATGCAACTATTCATGTTATTATACGGAAAAGTTCGTCCACGATTTGATCTTGAACATCCTCGTATAATGAAGAATGAAGTTAAACTGTATACTGGCTGATGTCGAAGTGAACTTTCGGTAATGCATGAATCGATTTCAGAAACGATGAAAGATGGTAGAAATCGCTCGACTGAACTCGCTTTAAATATATTTTGGATGAAGTTGCTTACTAATCAAACTTATGATCAGATTGGTATGCTAATGAACTAGAAATTTCCAATCGATGATTATAGAAAAAGAATTGCTGAAACATGTTCATCTGTACAAGACAACTTTTTAGCTCATTTTGTCCTGAATTTTCTTCGAGTGAATCAACTGAATCGTAATCAAGCACGATTCCATCAGCCAATCAACTCGAAATCATTGTTTGATGATAATCAGGACACAAAAGACGTCATCTAGTAACAATGTTATCTATTGTACTTTTCGAAGGATATGTAGTTGACACGATCAGATCCTTTGCAGGAATTGTAAATGATGCTTCAATCACCGAAAGTATTCTCCAATACAATGACTCTCTACAACAATGGACAGAATGAGGAGACATCTTTCTTGCCGACAGAGGCTTTCTGGATTGTATAGTATTGCTTGAAGAAGCAAGATTTGAAGTTCGAATACCTGCATTTTCACCTGCTGAACAAAGGCTGTTATCAACAACAGATTCCAATGCTTCTCGTCTAATCACTAAAAACAGGTGGATAGTTGGAGCATATCATACAAGAGTCAAAAAATGAGCACTTCTGTCCGAGTGTATTCATAACTTCTTCCTACCAAATATTGAACCTTATGTGTGCATTATCACAGCAGTAATTAATTGCTTTTTTCATCCGATCTTTCCATCTATTGAGCCCGATAAACACCAAGCGTTATCACAATCTATGTTTGAGCTATCAGCTTAAAAGGACGAGTAGGCAGATCTCATCAATAATGGTGATCTCAGTGCTCAAGCTCGATGGACGAAGGTACACGTAGCTACCATCAAATTTCTACAATTACAGGAGAATGACCTCATCATGCTTTTCTTTGGTTCATATCAGCTGAAGCAATCGCGCATATATGATAAACAACATTTTGGATAAAATGACGACTTTTATTTGCACATACATCCTAGTCATCCGAACATTATTCGCTGTCATATTCATAGTCAACATCATTCTAGTGAAGAATACTATTTTTGGATAAAATATAATCCGAAAAATTACACTGAAGATAACGATATATTCAATATTATTTAAGCAGTGTGTTGCCAATGCAAGGCAGGTGCTCAAATTGTTGAATTTTATGTATGTACTACTTAGGTAGTGTGGTATCTACCATTTGCCCGTCATCATGATCTCATTATTCTTGCTTGTCGTAATTACTTGTGAACATTTTTACTGCCGCTACTATAGCAACACACACTGTAAGAGCACAATCAAGGTCGATAATATTATAATGTTGTCGATTTTTGTGTATTATTTTCTCTATGCTTTAATAAATATGGACTTTGACACGTATCACATATATATTTGCAAAATTACGCCAAAAATATCAATATAGTTTCGCACAGTCTAGCAGTAATTACAATGTGAAACGCTTAATTTGGTTTGAGACACAAATTGTATCTAAAGTAGTAGATAATAGAATAGTTGCTCTATAATTAGATTCTAATCTATGGAACGACTGTTGAAAATATAGTCATTCTTAAGAGAAATGAATGATAAAGTATTTTCTAAGAGTTTCAAGTCCGAATTTATTGTTAGAATAGTTGAATATATTGGTCTACCTATTAACGGTGATAAAGACTTCAAATCTAGTCTCAATTCGATAAATACCGATTCCAAATGAGAAAATTTTTTTCATTTTTCAAAACGAAGAATGAATAATTAACAGTACCCTTTTGACCTTGACATGAATATATTTCTCTTCGAACAAAATCATCCCTCTTCCAATTTGTAGTGATAGTAGTCTAGATTAAGATATAGTTTTTATGAAAGTTTGATCTTGCGGCTACGTTTCGTTGTGAAGATATGATTACACTACTGGAATTCACTATTTGTGAAAAAGTCAAAATTTTGGTCAGAAAGATATAGATCTACACTTTGCTCGTATTTCTAAAATACTTCGACAAATGTCAGAAAATATTCAAACTAGAATAAAAATGTAGAGCATTCAACGCTCTATCCAACTGCATACGATGCAATTGTTTTCATATTATGAAACCTAAAAAAATCTGTGACTCTTTTGACAATCATATAAAATAAAATTTTTCTTATTTTTGTATCAATTTCATAAAAATGTATTTTCATTATAATTTTTCTTTAATAAGGCACATGAAACTGAAAGTTTTATGATAAATCTATCTCGCTCACTTCTACTATCAATCCAAATTTGATTGAATTTGGACAACTTTTTCAAAAACAACAATGTCCTTTTGAAAAATTTTTAAAAATTAATACTAGAATATTTGTTTTAAAAAAATCCAATACCCATAATCGTTCAGCTAAGAAAAGTGTTTTATGCCTCATTAATTTTTTGATGAATGTCACTATCAGTTATATTTAATTTTTTCTTCATCGATGCAGTTTGGGCTTTTTTTTCATGTAACCATTGCTCATATGCTTGTTGATTATTTTGCTTTTTCATTAATCGATATTCTTCATCTTTTTGTTTTTTTTGCTTAGTGTTCTCTAATTCTTTTTGAACACTAGTTTCTTCTTTGTGCTTGACTTCCAACCATTTATTAAACGCAGCGGATGCTTCATCAGGTGATCGATGTTTTGGTTTTTTTGGTTGATTTATTGTTGATATTTCTTTAGAATATATTGAAGATGTTGTTGAAAGATATGTTTTAAGACTAACCATGACTGAATCTTCCAAATTTAAAGGAGTTATTTCTATAAATATTTCACCTCGACCTAATCTTGTATCAATTTCATTTTCTATTTTTTTTAAATCAGTTAATATTGAAATATCATTTTGTGTACTATTACGTGTGGTGATTTCTTTTTGTGGTATTAATCGTTTACGAAGATTATTTAATAATGAATGTTGTCTTGCTAATTGTCGCATAAATTCTCGTTCATGTCTTTCAATGAGTTGTTCAATTTGTTGTCTTTTTCTATTAAATAGTTGTTCAATAGTTGTATGAGCATCTATACGCCAACGATCAAGTTCAAAAAATGGATCTCGTTCATTTGGTCTCCAAACAGTTAAATGTTGAAGTCGTTTTGTAATTTCTCGTAGTTTATTTGCTATTGTTGTCATCGATTGTTTCGATTTTTTTTTCTATTAAATGAAACAGCGTGTATCGCATAAGTATGAAAGAAAAGTTAAAAAAGCAAGGCATCCATTTAAATGAAGAATATTGTATTTTTTTTGCTTTTCTTGTTTTGACGACGTTTACTTAAAATATTGATTCAATGAATGAAAAGAAAAAAAAACTTGTTTTTATTTGTTGTATAAACACCTAGAAGAACATAATTTTAAATGATACGATCAAAAGCATATGCTCAAAAGTTTTTTTTGATTTTTGTTCACTTTTCTTATAGAGAAAAAAAAAATCTGTAAAAAAAAAACAAACTAAGCTACATAGAAAAATACAGAATATTAAAAAACTTTTTTCTCTTTAAAATTAAACATTTGATGTTCCAGACTTTGTTCCTATAAATAAACGTGTATTAACTCGATGTTGTGAAGCTTTAAGTATATGAAATTTACTATTAACATTCAAGAAAAATAACAATAAAAATTAGTTGAATACCATCAAGAACAAAAAAATAAATATAAAATAATTTAGATTTTCTAGTATCTTTACACTAAAAAATTCGAAAATTACTATCAGAAAGAAATGTTGCTTTTTTTGTTTTCATTTTCAAATACTTCTAAATTTGCTTCTATAAAATTTTCATAAACACTTTCATATATGTTAATATATGCAGAATCCAAAAATGATGTAAGGCCAATCGAACAAAAATGAAGACTCATTACAAGTGATTGAGCTGATTGTGATTAAGCCAAATAAGCAAATTCAAGACTTGATGCTGAAACAAATACGTCAGATAGACCTATATTAATATACTCTAGAAATTGATAAAATATCGACATATCAGTAGCATAAGAAGTCGTATGGCCTATGATATAAAATGAAATCATTGATAACGAAACAAGCAAATGAATCTGCAATTATCGGCTAAATATCAATAGTCTGTTGAACAAATGAATCGTATCTTTTTTGACGAAATATCTCGACTATACCAGTTACATACATCGAAAGTGTAGCTGAGATCATTCCAATAACCATACGTATTTTGATTGAAAATGATCGATTGTTAATATGAAGACGTTTATATATACATATGTTTAGAATAAAAATGACAACTATAAGAATAAATAGTACTTTTTTATCAATGGTAAAGAGATTTAAAATAATTTCTCTATGAAAATGATGTTTAAGATATAAAAAGAACTTACTAACTATCTATATCTTTGGAATTTATTCACTATATCAAATTACTGGATAATTTGATAATGCATACGAATAATTATTATTTGATCAGTAAGAGAAAGCTAAACTATAAGCATATGATTAATATTTGATTACAATAGTAATATTTTCATATGAACACCTTGTACAATAAACATTGTATCACTCTAAATAAATAAATATAGATTGAAATCGATAGATTCTCAAGATAGTCTATTTTTCAATTAAATTTAGCCAAAAAAACAAGATTTCTACGTGCAAATATATAAGCCCATAGGGTATTAAAAGTAGGAACATTACAATAATACGTCGAAGTGATTTAATATCATCAACAATATGATCTTGAAATTGACCATTATTAGTGCCTTTAGCATAATTAAAAAATAATATTGGCTGCTCATATTATCTTGATCATTTGAAAAATTTTTGATTCATTAGAAGATCTACGTTCATTAAACATTTTACATACATAGTATTGATGTTTATGCCATGTTTGAAATCGATTAATTAAAACAGGAAAAAGAATTAGTTATTACAGAATCATGTGGTTTTATATGAATATCATATCTATATTCAATAAGAAAAACTATCACAGTTATAGTTAAAATTAAATAACCTATAACATAGGATTTATTCTGTTGTATATAAGCAATTATACCAAATGCAAGAAGACAATCTATATTCACAGAAACATAATATTTATAAAAAATATTGTGTTATAGATTTTTGTTCTCGAATTTGTTCAGCTCCAAATATAGCCATATTTGTTTGAACTGCTCCGACACCAACTGTACTAAATAAAAAAGCAAAGAGTAAATCCAGAGATGTTCCAAGGTCGTCGGGATTAGCGGGAGGAAGGGAGACTGATGGGAAATTTTTTTGCTAAATTTGATCGGATTCGGAGCGATCGAATAGGTTTTTTGAGAATTGGTGGGAAAAAAACGAATGAAACGCTCGCTAAGAAAAACCGAAAGTCTCTCAAGATTGCGGAACTCCAGACTTCCCACTCAGGACACTCCTGACTAAATCAATAACAATGTCTTAGATGCAAATCATAAGTTCAACTTACGTGACAACAAGTACGACGGTAATTTAAGCGCTACATTTTTCTCTAGAATATGGCATTGATTTATGCATATGAATGGATGGTCCATTACATAATGTTTCATATATCTCAGCTATAGAAAAAAATGGAATAAAGAAATAGCCAATAATGTATAAAATAAAACCTATATATTATGTTTAAAAACAAGGGATTTGAATACAGTAAAAAACTCTTGGTTTGCCTCTTTTTTTACCAATTAGAATTATTTTTACACGACCTAATTTCGCATTACTTATCCAAGAAAAAATAAGTGTTGATATATAATTTGTACGTTTTTATAGAGATACAATATTAATAAGGTTAAATATTATTAATCGATTAATTTTATCGTAAAAGATTAATGAAGCAATTATACTATGAAGTGATGTGCAACAAATAGAATTCGATGTAAAGAAAAGAATAAGATTACCAATTAATGAGAAAAAATACTAATGCTTCAAAAGCAACAGCTATGAGAATTAATCAAACAGCAAATGTTCTTTGAATCGATGTTCAATTATCCATTTTACGTAGAAAGCCTGATATATGAAAAACTAGTGGAGATAAATCATCTGTACTGGCATCAATCATCTTAATATAAGACAATTTATGATAAATTCTTACAAATTATAAACGAAAGTCCATACATTCTTAGTTTATTATTTCTAGAGTTGAAGATAGAGAAATTCAATGACAATGATTATTATAGCAGCTAAATGTAGACAGTTACTAATTTTATTAATAGATAAGATGAGGAAAAAAAACATGTACTTGAATTACTTTAAGAATAGAAAAATATTTTGACAAAGATTCATAGAACATTTACGTGAGAATCTAATTGGAGGGTTTTTATAAAGTTTTTTGGGAAAATTAAAATAATAAATGTTTATAGAAGTGTTGAACTTAAAATTGATTATTCTCTTTGATGTACTAATAAAATTTGTTCCATTCTATTATCCAACATTGATATAATTTCTTTAAAAGGTATTTATTGATTTAATATGACTCTTATTTATACATTTACGAAGGAACTATCCCAGCTATAATGCGCCGTTTGAAGTCATATAGGATTCATAGAGCGGTCTCGATAAGGCTAGAAAATTTCTAGAAGAGTTCGTGTTCATGAGTCTCTGAAGCCGAGCTGTGACCGTTCTACTGAACTTTTGACCGATTTTTAGATATTTGCTGAAAAATCAAACAATGGAATTTCGACCTGCAATTTTACTCACAAGATAGATCTAATAATCCTTAGAACATCCTCAAATTTTCAATCGAAAAGAATGTTCATTTGTCGAAATATTGAATTTTCAGCAAATGGTCGCTTGTTACAAAAATGAATTTACTTGGAAATTCAATATCTCGACAACAAGATATTCTTTTCGGCTGTAACTTTCAGAATATTCTAAGTGTCATTAGATCAATCTGTGGGGAAAATTTACAGGTCAAAAATTCAATAAGACGATCATAACTAGGCTCTAGAGATTGATAGGCACGAATCCTTTTAAACTGTTTTCATGCCTCAATTTGAATTCAAATAGTAAGTTATAGTTCGAGTAATTTCCTCGTTAGTATATATAAGATATCGTCTATTCCTAAAACACTTCTTAGTAACATTTCTTCAAATGCCGAACGTCGAAGTTGTCAGATTAATTTGAATATCAACTAAATATCAAATGAAAAACGATTCTTTTCTATTTTGAATGATTTTATTCATAATTTAATAGTTTTTGATGAAGTTTCAAAGTATTCTTCTCATTCTACTGAATCATAAATATGAAAAGATCATTAAAATATAATTGTTAATTTACTATTTATGTAGACTATTAAAATACGTAAAACAACAAAAATATAAATAAAGCATTTATTTTGACCTTGACTCTTTTGTAATTACAATATATTACGTTCTTGTTATTTTTATTTTAGTCTGTATTCATCATTTTCCATATGATTGCTTTTTACTACAATTTATCATCATAAAATATGTATTGATAATATACAACAAGACACATAATAATGATTGTCAATCGTCATGAAAAAAAAAAAAGATTTTTTATGCTCAATTTTTTTGTCATCAATCATTATCTCATCATTATGATCAAGTGCATGTAATAAAAATTCTTACACAAAAGAAGATTCATTTTATTCCTGTACGACATATCCATAGTATTATGTATTTTTTTAAAATCTTTGATGATTATTCATATTCAAAAAATTGAGAAGAATTTAATCGATATAATTTAGAAATTGAGGAAAATATTCGAGATTTAAATCTTTCATCATCTAAATAAAAATTTGTTTCTTATGTAATTAATATGATCCGTATTTTTCTTTACTAATTAAGAAAATCAAATTTCTTAAGCTTTTTTTCTTATTAGGTCGAGATCTGGCACGCATCTCATATAATTACCCTTGACGATAGTTATCTTTATAGTCTATAATCAAAATCACGGAAGGCTCCTCCTCATCTTTTCATTTCTTTTTCATCATGTATCTATATAGTTTTAATCCAAATGAAATTCTTGGTGATTCGACTTTAGTTATTTATTATGGATAAGATATTTTAAAATATCGTTTTGATCTATTTTGTTTTTCCTCGCATGCAAAAAACAAAAATTCCCATTAGACTTTCTTATAAATGATTACCGATAGAATCGTTGTTACAATCACAAAAAAATAAAAATAAGAACAAATAATTAC